GGCGGCGCCCGGCCCGGAGGTCCCGGCGGCGTCGCGGCGATCGGCGACGGGGCGGCCGAGGCCGCTAAGTGAGTTTGCCGCCGCTCCCCGACGTCCAAATGGGACTACAGGCGTTAAAAATTAAATAACGCGCGAATGCATTTACTTAGTTTCCCTCTTATAAAGGGAAATGAAAACAGGGAATAGAATTTTCCTTTTAATAGAATGTAATGGTATTTGATCAGCACCTGGTAGGGCGAGCCCGCGATTCCGGGAGCGGTGACACGGAGGCACTTTATTAGTTTTTAAAGCTCGGGATTCAATTACCGCCGAGCTGCGTAATCCCGACGGCCGGGCGGACACGGAGCCGGGCGGTGCAGGCGGCGGGCGGACCCCGACGGGCAACGCGGCTCGGAGTGCGGCTGCACCGCCGTCGCCGCCTCCGTCGGGGCTCCGCGCCGCCCGCGGCCGTGTGAGGTACGGGGTCGGCGCAGCCCCGGGCGGTTCGTCGCCTCCCGGCCGGTCCCGACCACGGGGCGGGGGATCGAGAGGAGAAGGGGAGAAAAAAGTGAGGGGTGGAGAGAAAAAAGGAAAACAAAACAAAACAAAACAAAACAAAAAAGCAAAAACAAAAAACAAACTGCGACCGGGCGGTAAATAAATAAATAAAGCGGCGCCCGGCCCCGGCTCGGGGCTTTGTTAGAGAAAATTGCGGCTCGATCTGCATAATGGGAACTCGGGCCGCCCAAGGCTATCTTTTTATTGCGTGTGTGTCTGCTGTTATCAATTTTGTGAACGATTTCACAGGGAGCCTGGCAGACTTGAGCTGGAATAATATGCAAAGATGAGCTCTGAATAATGAATGATGTGCTTTTAAACCAATTCCAAAGTGTCTGTGATAGTACAATATGAAAAGGGGTGGTAAGTAATAGTATATTTAAAAGGCGCTAGTATGTTTTTATTACTATATTTAAAAAGATATCTATATTATTTTTGTGAAATGGATAATATATCACGGAGTCTTTGATAATCAGCTAAACAATACATTTTTCTTTGGGAAAACTCTCCCGGTTTTACACAGTTAAATACGGAGCGTCGGCGCACGGCGTTGTACCGCTCGGCGACTTGATTAAATATTAACTCTATTTTAATATTAGCTTTTAAATTTAATATGTTGACGTTCTGCAGTTTTACTTTAATTACGTTTTATAATTAATAACCCGGGACGTACGGTATCCTTAAATGCGGCTCTCCCGCTGCCTCCTCCGCTGTAACCCCCCCCCTCCCCCCCCACACACACACAGGGCGAGACGGTGCCGCGCAAACCCCGCGCAAACCCCGCGCAGCCGCTATTTCCACACCCGCCCCGACGGCGCGGCGCTGCCCCGCTTCGGCCTGGGGGGGGCGGCGGATACCCGCAGTGCGGCCGCGACGGCGGGCGGCGAGAGGCGGCCACGCGCGTTACGGTGCCGCCGCACGGAGCGCTCCCCGCAGGACGTCTCCAGGACCGTCTCCAGGACCGCCTCCCCCCGCGCGCACCTCCGCACAACGGCAGCGGTGCGGAAACGAAACCCGCAGCAGGAAGATGCCGGCATCTGCCCATTCCCCCGGGACCGCCGGGCGGAGTTGCGCGGGTAGCCGGGGTACGGCTCGATGTCCGTCCTGCGAGATCCTCGGTGGGAAGTTTGTTGTCGTAACGTGGGCCGAGTGAGCCGCTACACCTGTCTTATTTAATGCTTACCGCTAATTATTTGTAAAGCGTTTGGTTTCTACGGTGAGAGGGAACGATGTCTGCAATGACACCGAGAGAAAGCGCCGCAGGGCTCCCCCGGCACTCACAAACCACGGGCACGTCGGTGCCACCGCGGAGCTGCGCGGCTGAGCGCAAGCGGGGCCGGCACCCTGGAGCTGCCACTGCTCCTCAGCTCTCCCCGCGCTGCTCCGTGCTCCCGACGCCCGCCCTGCACGGCTCCACGCCTCGCGCTGCCCCTCGCGTGGGGCCCGCGGCTGCCGCGGCACCGGCACCGCACGGAGCGCATCTCCCACCCGCTGCTAAGCTGGCCGTCCCGCCGCCGCCAAGAAATCCCGCTCCTTTCAGGGCGCTGGAGGCACTGCCTCATCCCGGGCGTGATGCTCCGCTGCTCGAGGCCGCGCTTCAGCATGCAGGAATCCACGCGTTGCCCCGAGGACCGGCTCTGCTCCCGTCCCAGCGGGCCTCAACTCATCCCGCCGGGCTGCAGGGCTGTGAGGGCCGCGCTGCTCCTTCAGGCGCCGTCTTTGCCCGTGGAGCGGCACAGAGCGGCCCGAAGATGGGGCGGGGGGAGGAAGGACAGCCCTGGGCATCGCAGCCTGGCTAAGGGGGAGAACCCGAAATACCCCCCCACGGCAGCAGCTGCAGGCGGTGTGCAGCCCCGGACACCGAGCATTCCCTGGTGGCTTCAGCTCACGTTTGGGCACGTCTATTAGGAAAGCCAAAATTTTTAGTTCCAAACCCGCGTCTCGGCCCACCAACACTCCAGCGGGATGAGGAGGGCGGGAAGGAAGGAAGGGAGCTGAATGGAGAGAGCGCAGAGGGTGACGGGCAGATGGGGCCCAGTGCCTCTCTGCCATCTCTGATAACATCAGGCTGAGCCGGAGCCGGCAGGGACGTCCCGGCAGCGCTGCCGGGCATGGACATCTGCTCTGCTGTGCACGGCGCGGGCTGGGGCTGCCGAGGTGCAGTCGGTCTGTGCCAGCCTCTCCTAATTCTTATTTGCCGCACCAACCTGCACTCGCTGCCCGATTCTTACACTAAATATGACTTTGTTGGGCAAATCGCATTAGGGTGGATGCTGCAGGTATCCATTAAGGTTTATTTATCGTGATACGGGTTGGATCTCACGCTCATAAATAACTTATGTTATGGCTTTTGTTTGTAGAAATGTAACTTACATATTTTATTACGCTTTCTGTAAACCTCAAACAGAACGCTGTCAGAGAAGCACTCCTAACGGCCGCCTAAACTGTGGTACATCACATCCACACCAACATTATTTTTTAATAGGGCAAGGAAGCGCGTTACCCCTCTGCAGTTTGAAAGGTTCGCTGTCATCGTAAACTCCAATAAAGCATTAACAAGTCTAAGGAGCTGCTTTACAAAGTGTGCACCGCTCGTGGCTGAGCTTCTTCACAGCCCCCCGGTGCCAACAGGACGGTGCTGGGCTTTGCTCTCCCTGTGCCAGGGCTGCTCTGCTCCTCGCAAGGCAGGCGCTCACCTGCAGTGCAGCTGTCGGTGCCTCACTGTGACCACAGAAAATGCATCTGGGGGAGAATCAGAGCCATTCTGCAGTCCCAAGCTGTCAGCAGAACAAGACAGACTTGCATTGCTTTCTCGAGAGGAAATCACTGGGGGCCGAATGCAGTCTCCTTCCTGATGTTTTCTCCATCCATCGTTTCCATTTTTAAATTTTTTTTCTTTTTTTCTTAAAGTACAAAGAAACCCCAAACCCCTTAAGGCAACAATGCATTTAACCAACCAGGCATCACACAACCTTTGGAGGCATAGGAGGAAAGTCTGGGCTGTGCCCACTTTGCCAGTGGCCTTCTCAAGGCTGACAGCACAGACTCTCAACAAAGGACCTGGAGTCATCCTGCCATCCATCTCCAAACCAAAAATCAAGCCTGTTTATACTACCAGCTTCTCTCAAGAAGGTCCTGCTGTCAGTTGTTAACCTAAGTTGGAATGCTGCTCAAATACACACATCCAGTTTGCCCCATTTACAAGGTGTGAGTTCTGGGAAGTGTTAGAAGCGGAATTCGAGAAGTGCCACAGAAGGCAGCAGCCGTATGTGAACGCAAGCCCTGAGTCTGAACGCTGAGCCACGGGGACACACGGAGCTCTGCTTTCCTCCATGCCCAACTTCTGCTCCCAGCAGAGCCACTAACAAACCAGCGCGAGGACTGGTCGCTGAGCACAGCCGCTTTCATCCGAGCCTCTAAATGCCAACGTGGGGCTGGGAGGTGATGGAAAGTTTCAACAGCAAGTTACCCAGAGCCCCGGAACCACCTGCAGGGGAATGGCAGGACCTCCCTCTGTCAGACGGACATGGCTGCACACACAGCAGGGAATGGCTTCAGCTGTGCAGCCTGTAGAACCTAAGAGTGACAACTCGTTTCCTCATTGTGCAGGCAACCAATTATTTGCCTAAGGAAAAAGAAAGCCCAGCCCAATGCCAACAGTATCTAATTGCACAGAATAGCTTTTGTATGTTATCAACTGATCGACTTATTACTTAAATAGTTCTGATTCTTGTTAGATCTTGCTTCATTCATCATTGGCACCCTGTGCCCTGTGCCTCAGGCCCTTCACTGTGCTGCACAGAGCAGTGCTGTGTGTGTGTGCACTGCAGACCCAAGGAGGGCTTCTGGTTGGTACACACAGAGCTCTTCACCACCTCTGAGAGGTGAAGACAAATCTGCCAAGTTTGCTGGTTTAGATGCATGTATTCATCTTCATTGTGCCAGAAGCCGTGTAAGTATGAGCGATACGTCTTTGGATCTGCTTGCTTTTTTTTGTTGGAGTGGATGCATTTAAGCCTGTTTAAACAGCATCATAACATTTAGCAACTTTTTTCTGCCCTTGTTTCCCCCTCTCCCCGTTTCCAAGGACCTGGAAAACTTGTGCTGCTGAAATTCAGATCCCACCAGTGTTTCACTAACGGCAGCTCCATCAGCTCTCTTATATTATATGCAACATTCTTAATTTCCTGGCCATACTTAAGAGTCTAAAGTGCTCACCTGGAGTCTTCCATCTCCTCATGCACACTGTCATGCTCTTTGGTTAAGTACTATTTCTACACCGTTTCATAAAGATAAAAGAACAAGATAGTAAATTTTGCTAAGAAAGGCAGAAAATGTTGACTTCACATTGCTTTCACTATTGCAAAGCCTTACATTTATACCAGAGATATAAAATGGCAGAAGTTAACTAAAAAAGTAGCTTCCGCAAGGGTCAAAATCTAACAATATAACAAGGCTCCAAAGCTTTCAGAACAGATTTATTAGCCAGCTCTGCTTTCCCCAGTCCTTGTCAGCTCTTCATTCCCAAGCTGCCCGCATCAGCCGCCCCTTCACTGTGCAGCACCTCAGCCACGTCCCTTCAGAACACTGACACGTTCTGGGTGAACCTGGGCAGAAGAAAACCCAACAGTTGGTTAGGAGAGACTTGACATTGATCTCAGTAAGTGGTAAAAAGAATAACGAAGATGGAAACTGAATTGAAAGAAGAACAGAGGAAAATGGGGAAAAAAAAAATCACCACGTGCTCTCGAAAAGAGTTCTGCAATACACCAATGAACTCAGAAGCGTACTTGGACAGCATCACAAACAGCCTACCAATGGTCTGAATCACACAACAAGTCTGCTGGGAACTGAATGCAATGAGGACCCTGATCCAGACCCTCCCCAGCCTCCAGCAAAGGGCTCTCTGGGACGCACCCAGGTGGTCACCAACTCCAGGCCGCCCCGCTGCCACCACCCTCCTCATGTGAGACACTGCGCCAGCACCCGCCTGGCACAGAACTTCATTGCCATTTATCACATACAGCTTGTGTGCTTAAAAAAAGTATTTTAAATGTCAGGAAAATATATAAGCACGCTGCATTTAAGGTCTCTGGGTCATCTTTTGTTTGTAGCCTCAATGCTCTTTGCTTTGATTGTCAGACTTTGCTGGTTCGCTAGAGCAAAGCTAATAAAGTTTGCCAAAGAATGGCTCCTCGGGGCTCCTTCTTGCACGGGGCTGCACGGACAGGTGCTTGTGGAACTGACGTGAGCTCAGGCCAGGTCTCCTGGCAGGAACAGGGAAATAATCCTTCCTGCCTACCTCCACAGCACTGTATTTGATGAGTATGCGTAACTGCAGTGTGGTGAAGTGTGTGGAAATACAGGATGCAATTATGAGTTCATTCTTTATTCTATTCATAATTTTTTACTTTTGTGTTTATTTCCTTACTAATGGAAATTGATTTCTGCTCAAATTTAAACAATCACCGTTAAAAGAAGCCTCCTGTTCCACAGAACAAATCAGACAAGGATTACGAATCAAGGGCTGAAAACAGAACGGCCATGTATTAACTCATGCTGCTTGCTGGGAAGTGATGGCTTAGAAGTCTTCCTAAGTTAGACAGGCGGATGCTACCCAGACAGACGAGCTGCTGTCTGACTGAATTATCCCTGTCCCCCTCACACCTGCACCCACCTCTCCCTGCTGCAATTCCACAAAAGCTCCCCGAGAGCTTCCACGCCACCGCCCATCTGACAACGCTCCACAGAGCTCAGAGATGAAAATACGCTTTACATCTACATATATGTAAATCTAACGCTTGCCAAATCTAATCTTTGCCAGCAGCCCTCGTGATGGAAGCCCCTGTCTGCTCCCTGAGCAAGGAGGGCAGGGAGAGGAGAGCCACATCCCTGCTGCCCGGCTCATGGCTGGTGTGGGGGCCCAGCCTCCTGCCATCCCGCCCCCCTCAGCCCACACTAGCACATCCAGCTGTTCCCTTCTGCCCTTAAAGTCCAGCTTCTAGGAATAAGGCAGCTCAGAGAACCTGCACATCAAAGCCTGCTTTTCTCCGAAAACTGTGTTATCTGGAGGACTTATTGCCTTCAGTAAAAATAAATAGACACAGAACTAAGAAACTATTAATTTCTAGCAAAGAGTTTTGCTCAGTTCCTCATCTGTTCATGTTTCTTCTCTTTTTTGTGTGGTTTTACTTATTTATGTAATCCAGAAGGACTTTTGAGTCAACTGACTCCCCTGGCATTCACAGCTGCAAAGTCAGCCCATGTCCTACAGCTCACCACCATCAGCTCTGTTTTTCTTTCTTTAATGGGCACTCCTGTCCTTTCTGATGCCTTTCTGCCTTTTCCCCCCAGTTTTCTCCCAACCCAGAACAAGTTACACAAAGTCTGTCAGAGTTACTGCCAAGGATGTGATCTGCGCTTCTCTGGGTCCACTTCCAAATCCCTCTGTCTCTGCCTATCATTGATTGTCAGGCCATAAGGAACTTGTTTTAGTATTGGAATTTAACAGGAAAATGAAACAAAATAACAGAGTCCAAAATCAATGCAAAACTATGTAAGGATTAAAAAGTAATCACCAATTTCCACAGCAACAAAGAGAAAAGAAGTTAGAGAAATAAAGTCAGCAAATGGTCTTAGTTATTCTGTCCAAGACGTTCTGCAGGTTGTTTCAGGCTTTGCAGGGAGCCCCGCAGCCGGGACTTTGATTGTGTCTCCATAATTTCAGGGTTTGTTTTGGCAGAGTAATGCACACAGACCACAGGACCAGAGCCACCTGGTAACAAACAGTGAACATTCAATGCTGACAGGAGAAACGCTGAGTCTGCCAACTTCCACTCTGCTTTTCGACTGAGGGCAAGATTGGTTGACTCTGTGATTCGTGTTACCAGAAAAATTACCCTTGCCATGTTTACCCACAGATTCAGGCTCCAAGTGCTCAGTTTAGGGATAAGTCCTTTTATGGAGAATGACCCTTCTTTCTCAAGGAAGTAATTCATGGCTACTTATGTGTTATCAACTCACCAGCCTCTGTTCTTCACTGAAACCTTCTGCTCAACTCCTTTCATGAGGTTCCTGAAGCACTGCTCAAGGACTTGCTGTGTGCTGCCAGGCTGGCTGTTTATCAAAGTTGCCCTCAGCTCACTGAAGTACTGTGATAAAGAAACAGAGAACTTCAGGAATGTGATTTGGAAGTTTAAAGCCAGTTATCCACCTGCACCAGGAGCATTCTTGAACAAAGCTTCACAGGCTGCCCTCTGTGAGAGGAGCTGGGCAAACTGCAAGCAGATTTAGGTGTCCTGAGCCACAACAGCTTCAGTCCTACCTCACGACTACAATTTAGTGAGGGGCCACTTTCTGAGCTCCAACACATGAAGCCACCTGAGAGAGGTGATATAAATGTTCCTCGACTCCTCTTTAAGTCTTTTTTGAATGGTGCAAGTTTGCACATCTCACCGCAGGATCTAATCCACTGTACTGCTGACATGAGACAGACTCATCCTTGCTTCTTTAGAAGCTAGGCATTCTATGACATTTTGTATTACTATATCCACTCCGTCCTGGTTAATCTACAGACTAGTTAAAATATAACTTTTTACCACCTTTGGACAAATTTTGGCTAGCCTAGCAATAAAGAATGGGATGCAATCTCCAGAGTCATCAGCTACCCTATTCCTGTAGCCAAAGAAATTGTATAATCCTGTTTAGTGTTTACTGTACTGACTACATAGACCAAAGTCTTCTGGCCTTGGGCATAAGCACATCCACATATGAACACTGAGAGAGACAACTATTCAGAGGTGAATGAACTATTCTGGCAGAGGTTCACAGCATTCAAGAAGGATATTGCTGGTGGTCTCCACTCCATTCTACAGTACCTTCATTATTCAAGAGGCAGGATAGCAGTTCCGTCCACAGACACTGCTACAGAAAGTTCCACCAGTCCAAGTTTTACCATCAGTAACCAAGTCAGACATATAGAAGCCACTCTAAAATGAATGTGGCCTTTTGGTTCAAGAATGACAACAGAAATTAAGAGGTAAAAGCTTAAGCGACCACACTGACAACTGCTAAGCTAGTTTGGTCAAAGGCACACATACAGATGGAGGAAAGCCTAACCTCATCTCCACATTTCAGTTGCACATCAAGAAAACTCATTAAAAGAAGGCTGAAAAGAGTTTTTAGTATGCAAAATATTAACAGCCTTTTGAAGTTAATGCTAGGCAAAAAAAAAAAAAAAAAAAAAAAAAAAGGATACACCAGGGTATCATACAGATAGCCAAAATGCATGTCAGGGATTTGTTTAACACCTCAGTTTAAAACCAGTTAAATTTCAAACATGAGCTTCCTTCTGACCAAAAATGCAGCTCTCTTGTATTAATGCAAAAATACGAGAAAAGAAAACGTAGTAAAATCAGGGCATTCTAGTTTTAAGCCCATGACAACTCAGCAGGATGATAGGAATACTCAGAGCTGAGGCACTGGCGCAGGTCGCCCAGAGGAGCTGTGGGTGCCCCGTCCTTGAGGTGCCCAAGGTTGGGCTGGATGGGCTCCTGGGCAGCCTGATCTGGTGGGCAGCAATCAGCCCATGGCGGAGGCTGGAGATATGTGGGCTGTAAGGTCCCTTTCAACCCATTCTATGATTCCACGATAGGAAGTGAAAAACCAGCCCCCAACCCAGCTCCTTTCAAAGCAGACACATCCTGTATCACACTTCTGTGCTGGTTGCTACAGCACCTGCTGATCAAATAGCTGGATCCCAAACGACGTGTGAACTCAAACTTGAAAAACACGTAGGAGTAAAAGACGAAATATCTGTCTGCAACAAACACGTTCCCCAAAGCATTCTCTCAAGGTGCCAAATGCAGAGTTCAGTCTAGAAAAGGCTGCAATCCTGAGATCCTCTCTGGTACTCACAGTTTTGGAACAGAGGTGTTCCAAGAGCTTCTTTCGTCAACCCCACAACAGAAGTCTTACCAATACCTTCCCTAACAGCAAGGAATTACACCTCTGTCCAACATCCCCGCCGACAGCCTCTGCTGAGGACTCTCCCATGGCATCGCTGCTCCAGCACTACAGAGCTGCTCTGAGCCCAGGGGCTTCTAGGGCTCCTCTGCAATAACATCACTTCTGCCCATGCACACACATGCTTGTGATCTTCTTTGTTGAAGAATAGCAAGAAGGAGATGCCAGGATCCTGGCTGCCATCAGGATTTAAATTGAACTTGCTGCCTCACTTTGAGAGAGGAACGATGTCAGGAGCCACTGGAAACCATCTCATTTGATAGCAAGCTGATGCTGTCTCAAAAGATTTGGCATTGTTTTAGGGTGGGCTCTGTATACAACTCCCATTTTGGCGTAACTCAGCCTATAAAGACAAGCAAGTATGAATCCTAGCTTTTCTGAGTCCCCAGGTAAACCTGCCGCCTTCCCTTTGAGACGAACTATCGGCAAGGGAAGTATCATTAAAACGAAAGTAGACGAGAACAAACAATAAAAGTAAAATGTGGTTAATGTGTGCTTGCTACCACAGGAACTGTACAGACTGATACCCCACCTGAAATAAAGCAGTCTGCTTCCAATAAATAAGCTGGCGATGTACTGAAACGAGCCGAGGAAAGATGACTCTTACAGCCACATCTAAGTACATCACCTACTTGTTTCTGAACACAAAATAATATGCTCCGTGCAAAACGAGCAATGCAAATACTGTGAATTATATTTCCTGTTCTCCATCCTTCCAAAAGAAATGGAAGGCTTGCTGATAAGTAACGGTGCTTGTACGTACCTGTGTCTGCTAAGCAAAACACATAATCATTAGAACCAGTCTAATTTCAGTAAAAAGAATATTCTGCCAGTCACAAATTTATTTCTTGTGATTTACAGCTCCACAGTTTTATCTTCAAGTGAAATATTTAATTTCTTCTCATACTGAAGCAGCTAACATCAAAAAACACATAATTAATATGTAGTCAGGCTAATACTTAAACGCTATAAATCAGAAGCATTATATAAACAAAAGTGTCGTCTTGAACAAGATTGGGAACGCACAAAGCTACTTATTTCCCACTTTTATAATGATGCAGTGACTCAGAGCAGATAGAAAATGATTAGTTTTCCTTCCAAAGTAGGAAATATTGCTTCCATCTGTAAAGTATAATATTGTGATGTCATAAAGTTTTCCTAAACACTGAATTTGCCCTTATTCCCTCTCAATCATTTTAAAAGAACTGCTCTCTCTTATAGAGCCTGGATTTAAATCACAATAACACACCAAGAAGATGAATGACAGTGCTATTGGATATGGCTAAAATTGGATCCTTCAGCACAGGTGAATGATGAGACAGCGCTTCTCTTCTTGATATATTTTCTTCTTCTATTAGTTTCCTTCCATAGCTGGGATTTCAGTTTGAATTTTAATGTATGCAGTTGCTGCTAATCTTAGTGTCTTATTTTTTTCCAGCACCCTCTTATTGTATAGACAATTCATTCTCCAAAGCAGTAATACACTGAGGCTTGTGACTGCCCAAGATATAAAGCAATTCAGAATAAAGTTAGAGCCAGCTCTGAACTGTGGCAAATACAACAGGTCAGTATCTTCAGGAACAATGCCTGGCTATACAAAAAAATGCACACATTTAGATCGATTCGCATTCATTTACTCAGATGGTTTCCATTTCTGACAATATTGTCTCTATTAAGTCACAAGGGAAACATGATGGGTATATCCAAATTCATAGTTTCAGATTTTATTGAAAGGGCAAATTGCAGAGTATTTCCTGGTTTATATGATTTGCCACAGATGAACACAATCCAAATTGCAATCAATGCTGGTACTTAAGTGTAAGAGCTCAGATAATATCCTCAAAGCTGCTTGTTCCTGTGAAACCTTTCAGAAAAAGGAATTGGTTAACTATTTTTCTAGGAAGCAATTTTTTTCTGACGTGATTTCCACAGTGTTCTTGTTTCAGTGCTGTATCTAAAAGCTAGATGAGCTTGCCTATCATTTCTACCTTATTCTGGAAAAACAGATTTAAAATCTATTAATAATAATAATAATAAAAAAAGAGGTTTGCTATATTTGCATAATCTAAGATTGGGTGTAAAAGTTGGGGTAAAGTTTGAGAAGATTTTCTCATAAAAATGAAGCCACTCAGCCTTTGTGAACAAATCTATAAAATATTACCTGGTACATGAGCTGAGCTTTACTCTTAGCATGGGGCTAAGTGAGTTAGGTTCCAAGGAAAGAGGGAGGGGATTCAAAAAAGCCACAGGCAGCTTTGTTCTGAAGTGAAATAATGATTTCAAAGAGTGCACCTGGAAGAACCTCTTGAATGCTCACCTTCTCATCTAGAGCTATAAGTCCAAGCAGCGGTCCTGACACAGACCGTTGGTTCCTGCAGTCTTCCAAACTGATGGTGTTCATTAGGATTGACATCATCTGAAAGAAAATTCCAACAGTTTGGCGATCAGGAAAAATTAACAAAGCCTTTATTAATCATGCTGAGATTTCCTGGATGGGCACAGTCTCCCAAAAGTCTTTCTTCCAAACAAATATTTCTGTAAGCAGAAATACCAGGTGAAGAAATGAAGAAAGTGAATGTTAAAGCTTAGCTCCGAGGTCGTAATTACAGAAGTCGAAACAAATAGGAACAGAAACTTAAAGTTGTGTTTATTTAAGGTACAGATTCACTTATAGGACAGTAATATGTGTGTGGTCAGTAATCTGTGTTTGTTTCAGATTAATTTCAAGGTGCTATTCAAGATCCTGGTTTTCTCACACCCACTTCCTCCTTCTTGAAAGGCATTTGATGATGAAGGTAATCCTGATCACAGCAAGGCATCTACAAATCTACATCAATTGCAAGGCAGTTACAAATCCAAGTCTGTGGTTTTGGACATTTTATTTCTGTTACTGAACTTACAGAGATCTACAGCACACATAAAGCCACTTGATCAACTTTACCAATCACTGAGACCTATCAATCCATACAGCTAAGCTCTTTTGGCTCTCGAGCAGAAGACAAGTAACTCTGATTGTTGGCTGGCTGTAACAGAGCCTTTGGCTACCACCACAACAGGTATTCTCCCCCGGGGTCTCCTGCTGTGCATCTACACTGCTGGTGTGTGGATAGGGAGGGTGGGACTTATTTCAGGGATCAGCACCACTTTTGTAAAAACAAATCACAGAAGAGCTGTAGAATCCATTTAAAGACAAAATCCGCAAAGATATCCTGGAGACACAGCAGTCCCAAATGCCAAAGGCCATAACATATACGAATCTAAAAACATTACTCAAAGACTAAACAGAACGAAAATTTGTAGAATGTCACCAGTAAGTAGTTTGACTCACATTTATAAAATATCTACACCCTAAAACCAAACATAGAAGAAGAAAATCATTAAATCCTTTCTTTTAGGCCAACGAGAAGCTATGAGCAGGGTCTCCAGAGAGCTGCCACACTACAAACTCGCCTGTAATAACTGACCAAGGCTAAGTCAAACAGCATGTTTCACTAAATGAAAAAGATGAATCCTAGCACTACAAATCACCTGCAACAGAGATATCCACAAATTATTTGAGCTTTCAAGTTAGGAACATAAGGTCTGACGAGGGAAAGGCCCATTTTAATCCAGACCCCACAGTTTTACATCAGGCAAAGTATCTTCCATTACTCCTAGGACAAAACCACCTCTGCGCTGCTTTGCAACTAGAGCAAGCAATCCAAATATCTCTGTACAAGCACTTACCAGGCACAAACAATAATTACAGCTCTTTATATGTAGGTTGCTCCAAAAGTAACATGTCCTATTTATTTCCCTGGAAAACATAACAGATACGTAGAGCACAATAACATTACTTCACAGAGCAAACTCTCAGCTACAGAACATCGTTTTTCCACATAATCACCACCAATAGCAATGCATTTTCACCAGCAATGAACAAGAGCCTGCATGCCACACCTGTAATAATCTGCACCAGCAGATTGGTCACCCACTGCTGCTGTCACCACTGCTGTAACGCAGCACCCACCCCTCACTGTGCTCACATCTGCTGTTTGTTCTCCATAAACGTACAGCAAGCATCAGTGAATGCCAATGGGTGCAACTTCTTCCACATGGAGGAATTCAGTTCCACACCTCTGCTTCACATGCAGCTGTGTCACCACCAGTGCTGACATCTTTCTACAAGGTTGCCTCTGTATAAAAGAACTGCTGGGACTTGTGGCATCAGCTCACTAACACGAAGAAGGCTTACCACCTGTTTGTGAATGCCCCAGGACAGTGATTTATGCTTTTCTTGAGGTTACAGAAGTCTACTGCTTTCAGAGATGGACAATTTGCAGTCTCACCATGTTGTCTCTGCAGATGTCTTACAAGTCCCACTTCTCACAAGGCTAAAGAGAAGCCCCTTAGGTGTACAGCTCAGCAGTAAGAGATGCAACAATAAATTGGGGCAATCCTGTCTACTGCATCGAAAGTTGTCAGGAGTGCATTACAGCAGAAGCCATCAGCAATCACTGTGCCTAATGCCATCAAGATGAAGAGCACTAAAATCCATGATAACAGCCTCAAAAGTCCTCTTGTTTTCTATGTCTTTCCATCACAACTACTGCTACTGCTGCTTTGTTTCACTGTGTAGCAAGGTTTCCTGTGCTATTTCTACGTGAGCCTACAGCAAGCTGTCAGCGTTCCAGATCCTTCTTTGTTTTACAGTACTGCTGATACACACCAAAAGACACTGTGCCCATGAACAAGCACATGGAGGTCACCCCTGCTGCACAGAACTCAAGTCTAAGCAATGCTGACCAAACAACCTTGTCTGCAAGGCTACAGAGCTAGTCTAGACGAGGTCCGTGCTACTTCACAATGAAGCTTTGCCTCAGCACACAGCTCGTTCACTGGCAGAAGTACCAGGCTGCCACTTAATTTCGCTGACTCCACCCCATACCCCTCTTGTTTTCATACACAACACAGATCAGCTCCCTCCCATGCTGACAAACAACATCCCCAGCATCCTCCCCCAAACCTCACACGGCCCTTATTTGGCTCCATTCCCACTAGCTCGTGTCATCAGGAGACACAGGGTGTGAGGAAATTTCCAGGTACACAGCTCCATCTGTACGGCCATTTCTGTCGTTCAGGTCACAAAGGAGCTGGAACTTGGCTTGTGGAGGACCTTGGAAACAACGCGCCTCTCCCTTCGTATTTGATTTGCATTTATATTTATTGGTATTTATGATGCAACACACACAGAGCAACGATGATGGCAATGTTATGGCGCTGCAGTGTTGCCCACCATTTCAGCAGCAGGATGGAGGCAGCCCCAGGCCCTGCTAGCTGCTGGCTGGAGGCAGGCGAGGGGCAGCAGGCAGAAAGCAAGGCTTGAGTTGGGGACAGAGCCATTGACAAAGAAGGGGCTGCAGAAGCAGATAATGCATTTCCTGTGGAGTTCAAACTGCCACCCTTGTCTCTGTCCTCTTATCTTAAATGTAAGGCATCGCTTTATCTGGTTCAATAATGTTTCTTCTGACACATTTGTTCTGTACAAAAGAAACTATTGACAGAAGAGGCAACAGAAAAGAACTGCTCTTCCAATAAATTAATTCTTCAGAGCCTCTCTGCCTTCAGAGCTGCTTTCTCTCTGTAGCGCTGGAGGAAAACGTTGCTAAAGACACCCCTTATTCTGATTTCATTTTTCTAAAGAAGCTGGGAAAGAAGCTGTCTTTCCATTAAAAAGGTTCTTCTGCTGCTTCATGTATCAGTACAGCACAACGAGCACCAAGGAGGTCCTGTAACTCACTTCTCTCTCCCATACGTCGGGATAAATATTCTACCCTAATGCCCCTAATCACATTTTTAATGTAAAGAAGGTTACATTAAAAACTCTGACAGCGTTAAGTAGAGCTTCACAAAAGATCCAGAAGGCTCTAAAAACACACAGGTTTTGACCAGGCACTCGGCTGGAGAGAACAGATCTGATGTTCCAGTCAGACCTGAAAAAGATGCCCATTTCATTGTTTAGCTTACACAACTTGGTAGATTTTATATCTCTAGCTTCAGGCAGTCTGCTCTTAATTTAGGAGCTGTGATTACTAATTTAAATGTCCGTTAGAGTTCTCAGTTCTTTCATCATCAATTCTTTCTATATCAATAAATGGATCATCATTCAACTAATAATATTCAGAGGATTTAAATGCTCCAAGATTATTAAATACCTTAAATTTTAATCTGTTGTTTTAAAATATTTATTTTACTAGAAAGCCTAACTTTCAGATTGATATTTTCCACTTTGAGTCTGTTCAAAAAATAACACTTCCAAATGAAATAAGAAAACTAAAGCCTTGTATTTATTTTGAAAGTAAGAACAAGTCAATCACTCCTGAACTAAAAAATACTTTTCACTTGTCAGAAATAGAAAATCAATTGGAATTTGAAAAATGTAAAAGTTTAAGGGCATATAATTCCTATATCTATGTATATGTGTGTGTATATGTATTTAAGTATACATTACTATAATTCCTTGACTCAACAACAGAAGCTTAAGAAGCTGCAGGAAAGTCTTAGAATAAGAGTGTAAAGAACCCAATCTCGTATCTCAACTGGGTTGGGCCTTTTTGTTTCCTTTTATGAAAACTGCACCAAGGTTTAAACGATCAAATGAAAAACAGTGAAAAAAAAAAGGCAGGGCATCTGGGTGACACACCTCATGCCAACAACTTGTATATATCTGCAGCTCATGAACCGAAATATGATTAAAGTGTCTGGATCTTTCACAGGGTTTCCTACCAGTTATCTGTTATATTGTGCAGAGAGTCTTTTTTTAAAACCGGTGTTCAGAAGGGATGGAAAAGATGGCAATAGATGTGAGAAAGGGAACGGTAACAGAGCGTGGAACTCGTCATTTTCCTGGATATGTCTTTAGAACTGGCCAAAGGGCTCTAAGGATGGGAGTGCTCACTTGAAGTAGGTCCAAATCACAAGCTAGAAGAAATAATCACACAATAAGATTGTACTAACTTATGTCAAACCTGTCTTTGTATCTGAAAAAGAAACATAAGCACATACTCAGAAAGATACATTTAGGATGATAGCTTAAGGCTAATGACAAGCACCTGCAATGCGCCCAATAAATTTACTATACCAGAGCCACTGAAAACAGCTTTCTATTTCTTCACTGTTAAAATAAAACTGGCACAATAACAAAGACCAATAGGGCAAAGCAGACTTTTCAAAACTAAGGCTTGCTTCCAGCACTTCCTACCAGTAGTGAGTCAGTACTGAGTGCCTTTCAGGAAGCCACCAGGACCCCAGCAGCTGTCTGCAGTGCGCTAGGATGTAATGAGGGCAGAGCTGGAGCACGGGCAGCAGCTGCATCCTGCACACAAGCTGGCCAAAGCGAAACACTGCCCTATACTCTTCCCTCTAATTTGAGGACGT